ACCTGCGACCTGTCGGTTTTCAGTCCTGTCGGCACACGGGTTTAACCCACTGCGCCACCGGGGGCTCCATACTTTGGGAGTGAAGGAGTGGGATATACAGTAAATACTACTACTATTAATACTAATTATAATTCTATCCACTTTGAGACTCCTTTGGGATAGAAATAATAACCTTTTTCATTCATTCATTCATTTAGGCGATCCCTCGTTGTCCAAGTATGATGGTCTTCCAAGTGTAGTGTCTTGGTGGTGGATATATAGGTGATTGTAGAGCCTTATTCTTCACCTGCACGTTTTTTCAACAGTGAGGACATCGGTTTTGAGATGGAAAGCGATCCCGGCCAGGGTTGGCTTGATGCGTCTTCCTCTTGGCACATTTCTCTTTCACCCTCCATTCATATCTCTTCTAATTCTGCAGCACTGCTGGTCACAGCTGACTTCCAGTTAGAGCACTCAAGGGGCAGGACTTCACAGTTCTTGGTGTCTATGCCACAGTTTTTAAGGTTTACTTTAAAGCCCATCTTTCAATCTCTTTTCCTGTCCACCAAAATTCCGTTTTCTGTTCTTGAGTTGAGAAAAGAGTAACTGCTTTGGGAGATAGTGACTGGGCATTTGGACAACGTGGCAGTGTTGCTAGCGGAGGAGCATCGCTTCAGAGCTGGTGGTCTTTCTTCTTTCAGCACGTTGACATCTCTCCACCTGTCTTTCCAAGAGATTTGCAGGATTTTTCATAGGCAGCGCTGATGGAATCGTTCCAGGAGTTGAGTATGACATCTGTAGACAGTCCACGTTTCGCAGGCATATAGCAGGGTTGGGAGGACAATCTATATAAATAAAAATGTAATGTTCGTTTGTGGGATTAACAGAACTCAAAAACCACTGGATGAATTGACACCAAATTTGGACAGAAGACACCTAACAACCCAATGTATGTTCATCACTCAAAAAAAAAAAAAAAGATTTCGTCATTTGGGATTTGTAGTTGCTGGGATTTATAGTTCAGCTACAATCAACGAGCATTCTGAATCCCACCAACGATGGAATTGAACCAAACTTGGTACACAGTTCTCCCATGACCAACAGAAAATACTGGAAGGGTTTGGTGGGCAGTGTCCTTTGGTTTTGGAGTTGTAGTTCACCTACATCCAGAGACTCAAACAATGATGGACTCAAACAATGATGGATCTGGACTCAAACAATGTGGACTCAAACAATGATGGATCTGGACCAAACTCTACATGAATACTCAACATGCCCAAATGTGAACACTGGTGGAGTTTGGGGAAAACAGAATCTTGACATTTGGGAGTTGTAGTTGCTGGGATTTATAGTTCACCGCCAAACCTCCCACACTGAACCCTATGTGGGCCACAGCAATGCGTGGCAGGGGATGGCTAGTAGCTTTATAAACAAGCACCATGGTCTCCCTATGAATGTCCCAATTCTCAAACACTCTCTGCTTCATTTGGAAAAATGCTGCTCTCGCAGAGCTCAGGCGATGCTATATTTCAGTGTCAATGTTGACTTTTGTGGAGATGTGGCTGCCAAGGGAGCGGAAATGGTCAACATTTTCTAATGTTCCACCATTAAGCTGTATTTCTGGAATTGCAGAGGGATTGGCTGGTGACTGCTGGAAGAGCACTTTGGTTTTCTCTATGTTCAATGACAGGCCAAGCTTCCCGTATGCTTCTGCGAAGGTGTTTAGAGTGGCTTGTCGGTCTTCTTCTGAATGCGCACAGACTACGTTATCATCAGCATATTGGAGTTCTATAACAGATGTTGTGACCTTGGTTTTGGCTTTCAGTCTGCTGAGGTTAAATGACTTGACATCTGTCTGATAGATGATGTCCACTCCGGTGGGAAGCTTCCCATCAACAAGATGAATTATCATAGCGTTGAAGATGGAAAATAAGATTGGGGCAATAACACATCCCTGTTTGACACCTAAATCCACCTGAAATGGGTCACTTTGGGAGCCACTGCTGTCCAAGACTGTTGCCATCATGACATTGTGGAGGAGCCACAGGAAGGAGGAATAATCATAATATTAATAGTAGTAGTAATTTAAGCAATAATGCACAAAACAAAAGTCATGTTAATAGAGAAAAAACAAAACAAAAGCACAAATGAAAGAGGTTAAAACTTTTAGTTTATTTAACAAATTATATTAAGAATACAGACTAACTCCTCAGACACAAACTTCCCTTTGGAAAATACAAGGAAGGCCATCTAAAATAAATACGAAAGATTAATATTAATAGGATGAATGATCGAGTTAAATCCACGTTGAATGTTTCATCACAAGGAAAATGCATCGCATCTTTTTTTTAAAAAAATGCGCACGCACACACAAACGCACAAACACAACACAACCGAAGATTCTCACTAAAGCATTGGATATTTTTTTTTTGGCCTGTATGATCGGATGGCTCAAGACAGGTCCTTTTATGCATTCGTTTCACATTATGTCAATCTGATGTGATTTTGAACCGCTGGCAAAATGCACCCAACGAGTGGGAAGGCAAAGAGGCACTGCCGAGTATAAACTTCAAATGGTTGACTTCTGCTGAAATTGACATTGTATCAACTGGAAATTAATTGTTTTTGTCCTCTTTGAGGGACATAATGTGATGGCAAAATCTGTAACCATTGAAGTAGACAGTGAAGTGGTTAAGAGTTGGATTAAGGAATTTGAAATATCCGGATACACTCTCCTCTCTCAGTCATGAAACTCACTCACTCACTCTCAGTCTGGCCTACCTCGTTCAGCTGTTGTGAGGATAAGGTGACAATTAGGAGGAAATCCATCCAAGCTTGAGATCGTTGGAGGGAGGGAGGAGATCATTAACCCATCATAATCAATGACTAATGCATTTTTTCTGATATTCAACATGTCCGGATTTCCCTAAGTTCTCCAGCATGACAATACAAACTTGGCCGGATCATTGTGTTACAACACTGTTTCGTGTTTAAAATACTTCTATTAATTTTAGAAAATTGAAATTGTTCTGAAGCCTGAAATACCACCTGCAGCCACTAGGTGTCAGACATTCCCTAACCAGAAAATTGAAATCAATCTGAAGCCTGAAATACTACCTTCAGCCACTAGATGTCAGATATTCCTTAAACAAAAAATTGAAATCAATCTGAAGCCTGAAATACCACCTTCGGCCACTAGATGTCAGACATTCCCTAACCAGAAAATTGAAATCAATCTGAAGCTTGAAATACCACCTTCGGCTACTAGATGTCAGACATTACCTAACCAGAATATTGAAATCGATCTGAAGCTTGAAATACTACCTTCGGCCACTAGGTGCCAGAAATTCCCTAACTAAAAAATTGAAATCAATCCGAAGCTTGAAATAACACCTTAAGCCACAAGATGTCAGAAATTCCCTAACCAGAAAATTGGAATCGATCTGAAGTTTGAAATACCACCTTCAGCCACTAGATGTCAGACATTCCCTAACAAGGAAATTGAAATCAAGCTTGAAATACTACCTTCAGTCACTAGATGTCAGACATTCCCTAACGAGGAAATTGAAATCAATCTGAAGCTTGAAATACCACCTTCAGCCACTAGGTGTCAGACATTCCCTAACAAGGAAATTGAAATCAAGCTTGAAATATCACCTTCAGCCACTAGATGTCAGACATTCCCTAACCAGAAAATTGAAAATCTGAAGCTTGAAATACCACCTTCAGCCACTAGGTGTCAGACACATTTCCTAACCAGGAAATTGAAATCAATCTGAAGTTTGAAATACCACCTTCAGCCACTAGATGTCAGACATTCCCTAACCAGAAAATGGAAATCAATCTGAATCCTTAAATACCACCTTCAGCCACTAGGTGTCAGACACATTTCCTAACCAGGAAATTGAAATCAATCTGAAGTTTGAAATACCACCTTCAGCCACTAGATGTCAGACATTCCCTAACAAGGACATTGAAATCAAGCTTGAAATACCACCTTCAGCCACTAGATGTCAGACATTCCCTAGCCAGGAAATTGAAATCAATCTGAAGCTTGAAATACCACCTTCAGACATTCCCTAACCAGCAGAGAACCTTAAATTCTTCAAACTATGAGAGAAAGAAGACAGACAGGATTTCTAGTTCCCAAGAAGGAGGGTTGGGAGAAAGTGAAGCATTCTCTCAGTTTGAAAAAACCAGCATTTTCATGTGATACTATACTCCTGATCCTAGCAAATGTTCCGGGATGACTGTATTGTTCTTTCTGACTCGCGTTTGCTCATGTCTTGGGGTGGAATACACACTTCTCTGCACGCACACACATACACATACATGTACATAAACACAACATCTTTCCAAACTAACTCCTAAATACCTCTCTGGCATGCTACTTTTCTATCTGCAGGGTTTGCTTGTTCGTTGACGGGGCCTACTGACTTGTTCGATGAGCTCAGCCAACCTTGGAAGGTTGATGGGTTCTACAAACATGTGCCAATAGTCTTTTCGCATTCAGAGAGCAGTGTGCAAATGTTCACGGCACATGCGCACTTGCATTACAATGTGACAAAGGCCACTTCAGTTTTCTTCTACTAGTTCCTGGTTGACCTTGCTATTGTTTACCTAGGTTGGTTCTCAAGCATTTCCTACCCAATCTTTTCCATTTGAGATTCCAAGGATGAAAGCTGAGACCTTCTCTAGGCAAACCTATCATCTTCCCATTAGTACTGAACCAGAAGTATGGAGAAGGTAGCCATCATTTCTCCTAGGATACTCCCAAGTCAGTATTGATCCTGAAACAGGACTGCATGAAGAAGACTCCAAACCATTCATGAACATCAACCATTTGAAAGTTGCCTTAGCAAAGAATAAGTTGACTGGATTTTGTTGCATATCCACACCAATAGTTTCTCTTTCTGGGGAAAAGATACTATTTTAAAATGAGGGAAGGGAAAACAACACTCTGGAAGGTACAAAACAGGCCCTTTGCTCTTGCGATGAGTTAACCACCAAGCAAAAGGCCTACATCAGGCACGGGCAAACTTTCTAACTTGGGTGCTCAGTGATGGAAGGAAGGAAGGGAAGGAGGAAAGGAAGAGAAAAGGAAGGAAGGACAAACGGGAGGAAAGGAAGGATGGAAGGAGAAAAAGGAAGAGAGGGGAGGAAAGAGAGAAGGAAGGAAGGATGAAAGGGAGGAAGGGAAGGATGGAAGGAGAAAGAGGGAGAAAGGGAGAGAGGGAAAGGGGGAGGAAAGAGAGAAGGGAGGAAGGATGAAAGGTTAGAAGGGAAGGGTGGAAGGAGAAAGAGGGAGATAGGGAAAGAAGAAGGAAAGAGGAAATGAAGGATGGAAGGATGGAAGGAGAAAGAGGGAGAGAGGTAAGGAGGGAYAAAAGAGAGAAGGAAGGAAGGATGAGAGGGTGGYAGGCAAGGATGAAAAGACAAAGAGGGAGAGAAGGAAGGAGGGAGGAAAGYGGAAATGAAGGAAGGAAGGATGGAAGGAGAAAGGGGGAGAGAGGGAAGGAAGGAGGAAAGAGGAAAGGAAGGGAGGAAGGATGGAAGGAGAAAGAGGGAGAGAGAGAAGGAGGGAGGAAAGAGAGAAGGAAGGGTGAAAGGGTAGAAGGGAAGGATGGAAAAAGAAAGAGGGAAGGAGGGAGGAAAGAGGGAAGGAAGGAAAAACAAAGAGAACGAAGGATGAAAGAGTGGAAGGGAAGGAAGGGAAGTATAAAAGGAAAAAGAGAAGGAAGGAAGGGATAAGGAGAATGACTGAATGGAAGAAGGGAAGGATAAAGAAAAGAGTAAAGGAAGGCAAAACAAAAGGGAAGGAAGAAGAAAGGGAGAGAGYGAGGAAAAAGAGAAGGAAGGAAGGACTAAAAGGTGGAAGGGATGAAAGGAGAAAGAGGGAGGAAAGAAGGAAAGATAGAGAGAAGGAAGAAAAGACAAAGGGGTGGAAGGGAAGGATGGAAGGAGAAAGAGGGAAGGAGGGAGGAAAGAGGGAAGGAAAGAAAGAAAAAGGGAAGGAAGGAAGGATGAAAGGGTGGAAGGGAAGGAAGGGAAGGAAGGAAAAAGAGAAGGGAGAAAGGGAGGAAGAGAAGAATGGAAGGAAAGAAAGGGTAAAGGAGAGAGAGAAGGATGGAAAGACAAAAGGGAAGGAAGGACGAAGAGAGGAGGGCCAGAGAAAAGAGCCTAAGGTTTGGGCCTGGGTTTGCCCATACCTGGCCTGGATGAACTTGGCAGCCCCAAACAATCCACCAAAGCAGCTATCTTGTATTTTAAAATAATGACAGTGGTTGCCTTTTAATACAGTTAGAAACCATCAGTATTTACAGGTGACACAGTTGAACCTCTGCATGTGGGTTTTGGAGGAGAAAGGAATATAATGTCCCTCTTAGCTGTCACTTTTTGCTGTAAAGAACACATCCACCGTTGAAATGGCACAAGAGATCGCACAGGCTTTCAGGGTGCAAAAAAATAACACAGGTGTCAGTAACAGAATGTCACAAAAGCATGCGTTTGGGGCTCAGAAGAACCATCAGATGCACCCACCACAAAAACATGCTGGAGCATGAAGCTTGACGTTGTTGGCGAACCTTCGAACCGGAACCAATCTTGTGGAGATGAGTTTCACGAAGGCTTCTGGAGGCACGTGTGGTGGTTGGTTTTGTCATAAGTCACCAAATTGGGTGGAGAGGAGGACCCAAGAGCCATGTACATTGGGCTGTTGTTGTTTTCTTCTGATTGGTCGCCATGTTCAAGTATTTCTGGGATTGGAAAGGACATTGAGATATAGTATATGGTCGTTGGGCCGGTTTGGATTGCAGAAAAGCACCACCAAATGTATCCTCTGCTTCCAGGTCATCATCTGGGTCGATTCCTGGGTCGCATCTCCCCAAAAATGGTCATGGAAACAAGAGGGTGAGATTTGGATCTGATTACTCTGCATGGGGAATTGGGTACACAGACCAAGGCGAGTGTCATGAGCCCAAACCGACCGTGAAAGGTCTTGGGTGTATCACAACTGTTGATTGTGTGGTTTTGTTGGCAGAGAAGGCAAAAATGTATGTTTGTTCTTTTCCTCTCCTAGTCAACGGCAAGCGGTGGGCATCCCAAGGCAGAGCTGGTCAATTGAATGGCCAAGACAGTCTTGTTTATTTTGGTTCGATCCGGATCAAATACCAACCTAGACAGATATATAGAGAGTTCCGGGCACATGATATGAAGTTCTTGAATGCCAAGTTATCTGGTGGATTGGCAGGTCATACCTCGAAGTCTACATGAATTTAGTTACGGTGAGGAAACAATTCCAGAGAAGCTCAAGGCAGCTGATGAAAAGAGATGGATGCGTAATTGGTCCATCTTGGTGTAGATTAATTTAAGTAGGACGAGAAAGTGTTTCCAGAAGCAGTCAATGGATCAAAGCATAAGGACAGTCCGGTCAACATCTCCAAAACAACCACAGGTACATAAAAAAAACACAAGAAAAAAATCGATCCAGTTATATGTTTACAAAATGTCAGAATTAGAGGTGGGGAGGGAAAATGTGTCCCTTTTGCTGGTAGGAGATCCAGTAACACTGTTTGAGTCAAGGGCTGGGGGACCGAGGAGAAGGTTTCGTGCTGGGGAGGAGAATCAATTCCCCTCTCAGTAGTATGTGTGCGCTTCGTCTCCCAAGCGGGCAAAGGAGCTCAGGATTGTGGGAGCTGTTGGCACCGGGTTGGGCTCGGTGGGAGGCGAGCGGCAGCGCTTTGCTCTGTCCTGAAGCTGTAGTCATACTGAAAGTGGGAGGGTATGGACAAAGAGAGAAAGAGGGTGTGGGAGGGTGTGGACAAAGAGAGAAAAAGACATTAGTTGGAGCAGGTTCACAAGTGATGGCCCAATGGCACAGCCAGAAGAACAGAGTTTGAGGATGGACAAAACATATCTTTTTGAACCACAATTTCCAGATTGCTTGGAGATGTGGTTCAAAAAAGGTAGTCAACCTCATGTCTAAGTCAACCATGTAGAAGTCAATCTCATGTCTAAGTCAACCTCATCTCTAAGTCAACTTCATTGTCTCAGTCAACCTCATGCCCAAGTCAACTTCATGTCTAAGTCAACTTCACGTCTAAGTCAACCTCATGTCTAAATCAACTTCACATGTAAGTCAACTTCATGTTGAAGTCAACCTCACATCTAAGTCAACCTCACGTCTAAGTCAACCTCACGTCTAAATCAATGTAATGTCCAAGTCAACCTCGTGTTTAAGTCAACATCATGTCTAAGTCAACCTCATGCCTAAATCAACACCACATCTAAGTCAACTTCATCTGTAAGTCAACCTCATGTTTAAGTCAACTTAATCTCTAAGTCAACCTCACATTGAAGTCAACTTCATGTCTAAATTAATGTAATGTATAAGTCAACCTTGTGTTTAAGTCAACATCATGTCTACGTCAACCTTATGTCTAAGCCAACCTCACGTCTAAGTCAACCTCATGTCTAAATCAACTTCGCACGTAAGTCAGCCTCACATGTAAGTCAACCTCATGTGTAAGCCAACCTCATGTCTAAGTCAATCTCACGTCTAAGTCAACCTCACATCTAAATAGTCTAAATCAACTTCATGTCTAAGTCAACCTCATGCCTAAATCAATGCCATGTCTAAGTCAACTTCATCTCTAAGTCAACCTCATGCCTAAATCAACCTCACATTTCAGTCAACCTCACATGTAAGTCAACCTCACATCTAAGTTAACCTCACGTCTAAGTCAACCTCACGTCTAAATCAATGTCATGTCTAAGTCAACCTCATGTTTAAGTCAACCTCATGTCTAAGTCAACCTCTTGTATAAGTCAAGCTCATGTATAAGTCAACTTCACAGATAGGTTGACTTTTTGTACAAACAGTCCCCGAGTTGCAAACATCTGACTTACAAATGTCTCATAGTTAAAAACAGGGGTGAGACAACCTGAAGTGAAAGAAATCTACCTTTTGGAAGGGAAATACACTCCTGAGAGAGTTATTATCAGGGAAAAGGTGTCTCCACTGACGAATATTCACCAATCCTTGTTTCCACAACAAGCCAATTGTTTTCAAAATCCAATGATCTCAGGAACAGAAAGTGAGGTGAACTCACTTGCACACAAATTCAACTTAAGAACAAACCTACAGAACCTATCTTGTTCATAGGACAGCCTGTATAAGTCACTTTCTTGTATAAGTCCACCTCTTCTATAAGTTGACATATGTAAATCGGCCTCTTTTCTAAATCGACCTCAAGTATAATAAGTTGACGACATGTATAAGTCGATCTCCGGATCAGTGATTTCTCTCCAGGCCCCTGAGTTTGGCCAATATGGGATGAAAGAAAGAAAATCAACTTTTTGACTGCCATGAAAACGACAGTCAAAAAGCTGGTATCAAATATATAGGGTCATACCGCCACCCTGTGGACAAATTGAAAGAGTACCACACAAACATTTACGGGGATTGCTATGTTAGTGGGTTCGCATTGCTGAGTGGGGAACTGAACCCTGGTCTCCAGAGTTGTCGTCCAATGCTCCAGCTATCGTACCACAATGTCTAGAAATAGGAGTGCGATCCCCACTCATAAAAGCAAATGTGGAGTTGACAGTTCATATCAATGAAAGGAAGGAAGTTCATCATATATATGTGCTGGGCCCTAGACATTACTAGGGATCGATAAATATTAGCTATAATTTTATTCATGTTTTTCACGTTCATGAGGTTCCTGTGCTCCAAAACCCAATGCATATACTTACTTACTTACTTACTTACTTAGGAGATCCCTCATAGTCTGAGCATGATGGTCCTCCAAGTATAGTGTCTTGGTGGTGGGTCCGTAGGTGGCCGTGGAGCCCTATTCTTGATCCACATGTTATCCCACATTGAGGACATCAGTTTCCAGGTGGAAGGCAGTCCCAATCAGGGTTGGATTCACACACCTCCTTCCTCTTGGCACGTTTCTCCCTTTCGCCCTCCATTCATCCCTCTTTGAATTCCACAGCACTGCTGGTCACAACTGACCTCCAGCTGGAGCGCTCAAGGGCCAGTTCTTGGTGTCTACGCTACAGTTTTTAAGGTTGGCTTTAAACCCATTTTAAATCTTAAAGAAGTGAGAGGGATCCTCTCACTTGTACCATGCATCTCTGGAGAAGTCTACATAGGGACCACCAAACGCATTGCCCAAACACGAATCAAGGAACATGAAAGGCACTGCAGACTAATTCAACCAGAGAAGTCAGCCAGAGCAGAGCACCTGATGAACATACCTGGACACAGCATTTTATTTGTGAACACAGAAATGCTGGAGCACTCCAACAACCACCATGTCAGACTACACAGAGAAGCCATTGAAATCCACAAGCATGTGGACAATTTCAACAGAAAGGAAGAAACCATGAAAATGAACAAAATCTGGCTACCAGTATTAAAAAACTCTAAAATTACAACAGCACAACAGAGAGGAAACAAATAAGGACATCTAATCACCTCTCAACAAAAGTTTGCTCCAGGCACTGTCAGGCCATTATATGCTAATCAAGGTGATCAGTTGAAACATTCATACCTAGCTCCAGCAGACAAGAGTCCTTTGTCCCACCCTGGTCATTCCACAGATATATAAACCCTTCCTCCTAGTTCCAACAGACCTCACTACCTCTGAGAATGCTTGCCATAGATGCAGGCGAAATGTCAGGAGAGAATGCCTCTAGACCATGGCCATATAGCCCAAAAAAACCTACAAAAACCCATTTTAAATCTATTTTTCTGTCCACCAACATTATGTTTCCCGTTCTTGAGTTGAGAGTAGAGTAACTGCTTTGGGAGACAGTGATTGGGCATTTGGACAAGGTGGCTAGTCCGGCAGAGTTGATGGCGTAGGAGCATCGCTTCAATGCTGGTGGTCTATGCTTCTTCCAGCACACTGACATTTGTCCGCCTGTCTTCCCAAGAGATTTGCAGGATTTTTGGAGGCAACGCTGATGGAATTGTTCCAGGAGTTGAGTGTGACATCTGCAGACAGTCCACGTTTAGCAGGTGTATAACAGGGTTGGGAGAAGAATAGCTTTATAAACAAGCACCTTGGTCTTCCTACAGATGTCCCAGTCCTCAAACACTCTGTGCTTCATTTGGAAGAATGCTGCACTCGCAAAGCTCAGGCAGTGTTGTATTTCAGTGTCAATGTTGACTTTTGTGGAACGGTGCTTCCAAGGTAGCAGAAATGCTCAACATTTTCTAGTGTTACACAATTAAGTTGTATTTCTGGCATTGGAGAGGTATGACCCTATATATTATTATCAATATTATATGCGTATACAATCTAATATATGATGTATTCTGGGGCTGTTTCTTCTGGGTGCAATCCACATTCCTAGCACTAGATGGCGTTATATTACTTTATAATATTATTATCAATATATGTGTATGCAATACAATACATGATGTATTTTGGAGCTTTTTCTTCCTGGTGCAATCCACATTCCTACCACTAGATGGCATTATATTACACTTTTTATTTATTATCAATATTATATGTGTATACCATATAATGTATGATGTATTCTGGGGCTTTTTCTTCTGGGTGCGATCCACATTCCTTCCACTAGATGGCAATATATTACAATATAATATAATATAATATAATATAATATAATATAAATATAATACAATATAATATAATATAAAGTATAATATAAAATATATGATGTATTCTGGAGCTTTTTCTTCTGGGTGCAATCCACATTCCTAGCACTAGATGGCATTATATTACTTTATAATATTATTATCAATATTATATGTGTATACAATATAATATATGATGTATTCTGGGGCTTTTTCTTCCGGGTGCGATCCACATTCCTTCCACTAGACGGCAATATATGACAATATAATATTATTATGTGTATACAATATAATATATGATGCATTTTGGAGCTTTTTCTTCCAGGTGCAATCCACATTCCTACCACTAGATGGCATTATATGACAATATAATATTATTATCAATATTATATTTGCAATATAATGTATGATATATTCTGGGGCTTTTTCTTCCAGGTGCCGTCCACATTCCTTCCACTAGATGGCAATATATTACAATATAATATGGTTATCAATATTATATGCGTATACAATATAATATATGCTACATTTTGGAGCTTTTTATTCTGGGTGCAATCCACATTCCTACCACTAGATGGCAATCTATTACAATATAATATTATTATCAATATTATATGTGTATACAGTTTAATATATGATGTATTCTGGAGCTTTTTCTTCTGGGTGTAATCCACATTCCTACCACTAGATGGCATTATATTACATTATAATATTATTATCAATATTATATGTGTATACAATCGAATAAATGGTGTATTCTGGGGCTTCTTTTCAGAGTGCAATCCACACTCCTTCCACTAGATGGCACTGCAGGACTGCAAAACAAACCTCCACTTCTCTCCACTTTCTCGCCCTATTTATGACTACCAACACCTAGTTATTATTAAAGTTAGGAGCTAGGGAAAATTACGAAGCAGTTAGAATGGTAAGTAACTAAGGAACGGGCAAAATTAAAAGAATTCCTCTGCTTTGCAGGAAAGGTGTATATCAAGCGATTGGCTCATCTCCCATAGTTTAAAATCAATGAAAAAATAAATAAATGGTAGCAAGTCCATTTTGAGAAAGCTTGGGAAGAAAGAAAGAGTGACCGCCACTCATTTTACTTCCATCTCGTAATGGCGATAAGCCTCCACAACACGCGGGTATCGA